CTTTAAACCCTCCCTTTCCACCTTAAACTGTTCTTAATTAAAGGCTAATTATGAAAGAAAAAGGGAAAAAAATAGATTAGGTTACATTAGTCGTGAGGTAATTAACTTGTATTTTCATAGTAATTAGTCCATGAAATTTATATTTTTCTTAATTAATCCGTTTAAGTGCTTCTTATCGACCATTTATTAACTGAATTCATCTTAATCCAGCATGAGATTTTTTTTGTTTCAAAATGTTTAAACTGAATTTTTTGTTTGATATTTAAATTTTAATCAAATTACAAGAAAACAAACGTCGTAGAAGTAGAACAAGTTGAAATGTTATTTGCTATGTTGTTTAGTTTATACCGTGTAAAATTAGGACCTAGCTCACACCCCAAAAGCTAGCTTTTGGTGTATGAATTAGGCCTAAGACCTAATTTCACATGGTATCAGCGCAGGGCCTGCCTCACCCGATGTTGAGGCCCCCCAAAAATTAAAATTGTCCATGCACTAGATGCTAAGTATTAGGTGTGAGGTGGGGGTGTTAAATAATGACAAAAGTCTCACATCGGTGGTTAATGAGATGGGTGGACTCCTTATAAGGCTTGGACAATCCTCCTGCCTTTGAGCTAGCTTTTGGGGTGTGAGTTAGGCGTAAGACCTAGTTTCACATTTTCGTTCAAACTTGTAAAGAGTTAGATAATTGTTCATTTACTAACTAATTCAACCTATTTTAATTTGATTCGTTCAAATTCAACTTAGATCGCGTATTTATTAACCATACTTGACATCCTGACGATGAAATACTGCCATTAATTAATTAATTTACCATACAAATGAGATTTGAATAGCTACATTTTAGCTAGCCCATGATATCATTTGACTCTTCACTCTTTGTCTCTTTTTGCATCATACACCTAGTTATTTTATGCTCCTCAAATGATGTGCTGCTGCATATATATAATTTAGCTTGTGTTGAAAAATAGAGTTTCATCATAGTACCAAAGAATAAAAGAGTCAATATTTACATAATCAAATTCATTTTTCAATCTTCATGGTGCTAAAGCTACATGACTACGTATTACATACAATGATAGAAATCAAGAATATGATTAAAGTAAAAAAAAAATAGCTTTTTGTGAAATGCACTTATCATCTTTTTTTTTCAAGAAGAACAAATAAAGTTTGCCAAAATGGTGTTATTTGATCATGTAGTGCACCATGACATATATACAATGATGTTCAATAATTTTACTACTGCATGTACGTGTGATATATAGTCAAGAAAAAAAGAAATCAATCTAAGACAATTACTTCATAGTTAACAACAATTTGCACTATTTAATTAAAAGACTTGAAAAGTAGAATAAAAAGGGATACTTTAAATTATAATGCAGCTTGCTTACAAAAGTAAAAAGTAAACTCATATATATATATATACCTTGTATGTGGTGCCCATAAAAGTAAAAATCATTGTTTCATTTCATGGCAAATGTTATCTATTTACTGGTAGTTTTTAACTTTTGGTTGAAAGAGTTATTATTACATAGGGTGAAATGGGATGGTGAAAAATTAATCTGCCTAACTTATTCATATCCCCTATTTTGAGCTGATTCTTTGTCATTATAGTTTATTTTGGACCATCAAACTTATGTCTAGCAAGATATAGTTTTAAAGAGATAGTTTACGAGTGTCCATTGATATATTGATATTTTTTCATTAAAAATTATAGGGTGTAGTTAGATAAAAATATTTTTATATGTATATGTTATATATAATATTAACACTTCTTGACTTTTACGCAATTTTATTTTTTATATTTTAGATATATTTTAGTCAAAATTTAATTTGGGCAAAGTAAATGACTTTTACAATTATTAATTTAGCTTATTCTGACTAACTCAATTCAAAAGTTGAACTCATTCATGACTCATTAAAAACCTTGTTCAAATATTTTCAAAAAATACATATTTTATTCGTTTGACATGTTATAAATAGTTGTAATAAGATATTTTTTTAAAAAAAAAATAGGTAAGAGTTGCGCGATTCGGACCATCCATTATTTATATCTACATGACAATACTCATATTTATTAGTTCAACTTAATTTAATTTATCAAACTAAACTTTACTCGCTCATTTAACAATACACTTATACAACAAGTTTCGTATACTTTTCGCTATTGATACCATCAGTATCAGATTCTTCAAAAGATACATTATTTTAAAAAAAATTAATACATATTCATTATTATTTTAAAAAATACGAGCAACATTAAAAGAAAGAAAAGGGAGAGAGAGAGAGAAAGGCATTACAAGTGTGGAAGTTAAACCTGGGAATTTGGCAGCCACATAAGCATAGTAAGTGGGCCAGATTGGTGACCATTGTATAACGTCTCTAACTTTTGCTTCACTTCTATACTTTAATTTTTTAATTTTTTTTAATCTCAAATTAAAATCTCAATTAAATTTAGATCATGTATTAGTGGACATATTTAAAGGTGACACTTTAAATCAAATTCTTTTTATACCTAAAGCTCTAATTCAACATCTTTAATAATTAAGTATGAGTCAATCTCACCACTGCACCATAACGATATTTGTTTCTATACTTAAACCTTATTTTAATTTAGACTTTCTCCACAACCATTGGCGGAGAAGAGGCCTTTTCCTCTGCAAAAGTGAAGGCTTGGGTTACCTAATCGGCACGCACAAGCACTACACTTGTCATTACATATTTTTTTAAAAACATAATATGTATATGTACGCTTGTCACACAAAGTTAAAAAGAGAGATAATTGAAGCATTATAATTAACTAATGAATTTAAAAGTTATAAATAAATCAATATGATATATCATATTATAGCAGGTAAAGAATTACTCAGCTACCGTAGATCGATTTTAAAGTTGACGACACAAATCACTCATGTTCTATCAACAAATAAAATTTAGCTTGTTGAAAACATTATAACAAAATAAATTTCTAATAAGAATTTATTAAAATTAATAATTAGTTAACAATGTAAATATAAAATTCGAATTCGTAACACGGTGATAAATAAGGGATTGTGGGTCATTGTTGGAGAAAAACAAAGGGAGGTTTGTGAGCTTAATGATAAAGGATTAAGCCACGCCGAGCCATTAACAGCCACCACGTAAGTTTTAATATATAGCCATCATTCCGTTACAACGGGACCCACTCTCCACCGTTACCACGGGATACTTTTTTCCCACGCATTTCCTAAAAGCTCTTTCAGCCTAACTGGATGTATAACATTTTTTTAAAAAAAAATATTTAACAAAAAAAAAAAGTTATAATTTACTCTGTTCTAATTTATGAAACATTTTTTACTTGTCTATAATATATCAAGTTAATATAAAATATATCAAGTTAATATATTGTTTATACGATTTGAGTTTTGAAAAACAATAAATTATGTGTGTGGGGTTTTTGAAGGGCTAAATAAATACTCCCTCTGTTTCTTTATAGTTATTTTAGTTTTTTTGAAAGTTAAATAATATGACAATTAAAAAAAAAGAAAAAATCGTATTTAGTATTCTCTTCGTTTTTATATGTTTGATCTATTTTGATTAGACACGAAATTTAAGAAAATTAAAGAAATTTTTTAAATCTCGTGAATTTAAATAAAAAATGTATCAAATATACTAAAATATTCTTTAATCTTATAGTTTTAAACAATTCAGGTAGAAACTTAGAATTAAAAAATTACTAAAAAAGAAAAAAATCATTTTTCTGAAAACAAATTATATAACGATAAATAGGTCAAATAAATTGAATCGCGAAAATAAGTATTTTCTTTTTATATTTATTTGGAGAAGAGTCACTTTCAAATATGTATTGGGTCGGTTTTTGTAGGGTATATCCCTTTGTGTAAATAAAAAAAATAAGAAATATTATTAATTTGTAGACCCAACCAATCAGAGGCCGCGTGAGGTTGCTGCTGACTTATGAGTATTTTACGTTTTAATATTTTATTATAATAATGAATTCCCACAAAAAAGCTTAATTGTTCATATATTTTATTTTTATAAATTTTGTCATATGCTGTTTAAATTATTGTGGCACTGAAAAAGTTCAAGTGTATTGTAATTCAGTGAATTTTTTTTCCCAAATAGTTAGTTTTGGTTAAGATTAGTTCACTTTTTGTTTATCTTGAGGAATTAACGATATAGAGCCCGTAATGGCACTAACACTATTAGAAATAGAGACTTTAACCATCGCAAATTAATAATTTTTTTTTATATATATGTATTTTTTTTATTGAATTAACTCACCGAAAAAATATAAATAAATTTTCTTTGAAGTGTTCCCACCGGAAGTGAAATTTCGATTGTTGTGTCACTGAATATTTTTTCTTTTCTCCGTAATTCAATCAAATATTTATGAAAATAGGCAGTACCAATTTTGTCGAAAAATAGTGAATTTTAGTAGTGTAACTGAGAAATTAAGGAGTTAGGTCTACAGATATTTTACACTAACAGTGTACTTATTGACACTTTATAGAAAATTATTTTTTATTTTTAAAAATAGAATCGAAAGACTTTTAGTAGATTGTTGTTAGGTCCAAGCGGTGAAATTTTCCTTACGCCTATAAGCAAGAGTCTACTAGGATTTCACAAGAAAAGATAGCCAACCTGGGATACGTTGCCGCAAGGAATAGGAAGGTGCCTCTAGCAGATTGCCCTTTCTTTTAATATTTGTATATATAGAGTATAAATTTCCTATATGTAATGGTGTAAATTACTCAAGAATCTGTTTTTTTGTATTATATAAATTAAATTAATTTCCAGTAGGTAATACAGTAACATGTAAAATTTATACAGAAGAAGACAATTAAAAGAATTCTAGAGCTTTCAAATGATTACAATTGTACCAAAAGGAAAAGAGGAAGTCCAACGTCATTACCAAAATATCATTACCGAATACTGCTCGATATATATATATATATATTAGAGTTTAATTAATTTTGAATAGTGTATTACGATATTATTTTTTAGGGTGGCGCTTGGAATAGGAATTTTCATATTTAGAGTCCGAACTCAAAATCTTTGATTAAAAGATGAAGAGATCCCAATATACATGTTTAATCTTTAATTTCTTGTAAGGAATGAGATCTCTGAACTACTTATAATGCTTGGATGATTCTCTTCTATATATCTTGAACAAATTTCTAAAAATGTAAGTTAAGCTCAAAGGCTAATTTAACATAATATCAGAATCGAACTCTTTTGATATGGTCCCCCTCGAAGGACCGGTTGAAGGGAAGAGGGTGGAAATACCCTCGACTCCAAACCTATTGAAAGGGACCTTAGTTCATAAATATGCACACACTAGACTAGACAATTGAACCCGGTCCACATAGATAAAGGGATGAGATTTTTGAAATACTTATAAGACTTGAATAGTCCTCCTTTCTTTGAACTGATTTTTATAGTATGAATTAGACTACCGATTGAAAGGTTTGAAAATATCCCATCCATAAATATGCATTAAACTACTTATAAGGTCTGAACAACCCTCCTCTATTGACATCGATCGGAACTTCATAATATTTAAATAATTGAACCAAGAAAATGTTAACTATTTGATTAAATGATTATGTCACCAACAACAACAATTTAATAAGCTAACAAACAAAGTTAATAATTAACAAATACATTCTCTTTTTGGTCGGGTGTGTTGTCTTATGGTGTATGGATGATGTTTGCCTCTTTAAGAAGGCCTAGCTAATATATGCCCTCATTTTTCTTGACCTTCATTCTCTATCTCTTTAATCAAACAAAACATACAAAAAACACTAAAACCACATTTTTTTTTTCATATACTAAAAAACAATCAACTTAAGTCTCCATCAAAAATTGGTGGGGTGGTGGTGGTGGTGGAAATAATTAACTTGTGTGCTTCACCCTCAGCCACCATTTTTTCTGCCTCCAAATCTTTTTACAATGATCTTTATCTTCTTCATCAAGTGATAAGGTGACACAAAAAATATATATATAACACTCATAGTTGTTTTCTATAGAAGAAAAAAAAAGAGAATGTTTTTATTTGTTTGCATATTCTTTTGTGAAACCCTATTTTCTCTAGCTCCTCATTTTTTTTCCTTTTAAGGAAGAAATTAATTTTTTTTCTTTCTACTTTTAATATATACTTTGGGATCTGATCATAGTTTTTTTTTTGGTTGAGAGGACCATGAGACAAGTTTTTTTTTTTTTTGGTTTATGAAAGTTAAAAGAGTTCGATTCCCGAGGAGGAATTGGTAGCTTCTCTTTTTGTCTACTAGCTTTGTAAAGTTGAATGAGAGTTATATAAATCTATATATCTTTTTACACAGTGACTTTGATTGATCTGAGAATATTGTACAAGAGCTAAGAAGCAGATCTGTGGATCAACAACAAACTCTAGAGGATCATTACAATTATCATCAAAGGTTGTCTTGATATGCTTTTTTCATCTTTGATCACTTTTTTCATTTTTAGATAATTCGATAGAACGTATCAGTTCAATATCTGATAGGTAAGTCATTGATAACACAAATAATATTAACTCAATTTTTTAACGAGAAAGTCCATCAAGGTAGCTTAACTCACACAAAGAAAAGAAATTGGATGAAGAAAGTTTTTCATGATAATGTAAATGTTTTACAAAATATTTAGTAATAATTTTCATCAAATGTTTATTCACTCTAATTAGATCCTATTTTCTTAAAAAAGGATGAGTATATATTATGTAACACATCTCTTCTTTCTCCTCCTCCTCCTTTTTCGATATCGAATTAAATTTATTTGAAGAATGAACAAATATGATAGACAAATTCTTACTATATGCATTTGTGGTGAGATATTAATTTTGGTGCATGCTTCTTGAACTTAATTGTTGAGGATTTAATATATGGTTTTTATATTTGTTATATCTAAACAAATTAAAAGGTATATAATTTTGATTAGACATTATATTATTATACTTTTATGAGTGGAGAAGACATTATACTTATGGTACTTGTTTCATTCAAGTTTCATGCCTAAGGCTAAAGCAAACTTGAGTAGTATTTTTTTTAGCCATATCTTCAAGTGATTAGGGCTCTCATGCTTTTACCCCCACAAAGTTGACAAAACAAAATTATACGCACATCATTTACTTTTAGTGTCTTGTTTTAGCATATCTACATTTTTTTTAAAATTTAGGGAATTAATTTCTGAATTACAAAATTCTTGCTTATGATATGAAAGAATTTAGCTAGTGTTGGTTCGATTATCTTTTTTATTTATTAGGGTTTTACATAGATTATACAAAAATAGTGTGTATATTCATTATTTAGTTATAGCAGGTAACATGTCTTATTTTCTGTATTATTATCGTCTTAGTTATGATATATATGTTTCTCAACAATGAAGTGAATTGATGTTTAACATTTTTAATCACTTGAACGGATTAAAGTATGTGATCACATGTACAATATCAAAAAAAAAATTCACTAAAGAAAATTGGTGAAATGTTCTATAGTTTCCTTACATTTGCATGTTCTTGAAACTTATAGTATGAGATATAATTATATATTATAATGTTTTTGATTCATTGGAATGCAGGTTTTGATTTTGTGGATCAAGAAAAGAGATGAATTCTTTTGCACATGTTCCTCCAGGTTTTAGATTTCACCCTACGGATGAAGAATTAGTTGATTATTACCTCAGAAAAAAGATTGCTTCAAAAAGAATTGACCTTGATGTCATTAAGGAAATTGATCTTTATAAAATTGAGCCATGGGATCTTCAAGGTACATAGCTTTGGTTTATAACATCATTAATTATCAATGACATATGTTGTAGTATATGTTAATTCTAGATGTAAAAAATATAACAAATTTCAATACAATAACTGGGGTTTAGGAAGGGTTGGATGTAGAGAAGCTATTTCCGATAGAGCCAGGAAAAAAGTGATCTTCTACTAATTTCCGTCTATAACTACATCATATGTCCAACTATCTTTTTGTTGCTATACAACATGTAAACATGATTGCTATAGTGAAATGTTGTTATAGATGATGACTGTTATAGAGAGATCTGACTGTACTGATTTTTGTTTGTTTAATTTTATTTTTTTTTCAGAATTGTGCAAGATAGGAAGTGAGGAGCAAAATGAATGGTACTTTTTTAGCCATAAAGACAAGAAGTATCCAACAGGTACTAGAACAAATAGAGCTACAAAAGCAGGATTTTGGAAAGCAACTGGAAGAGATAAGGCTATTTATCGTAAGCAATGTTTAGTTGGAATGAGAAAAACATTGGTATTTTATAAAGGTCGAGCACCAAATGGACAAAAATCAGATTATATAATGCATGAGTACAGACTTGAAACCAACGAGAATGCCAATACTATTCAGGCAAGTCTTCTAAACTTAAAAATAATCCCAGACGAGTTATCTGTTATATAATCATAATCGATTGAACTATGTTTTTATTGTAACGATGTAGTTATAATCTATAATTAGGAACTATCTCAAATTAAAGCATTCTTTTTTCATGGGAAGATTTCTATTACCATCGCATATATAGAAAAATAAATCGAAATCTGATAAACCTAGCTCCTAATTATTTTGACTTGTGATATATAGTAGATAATTATTGAGTAAGTTACATGTTTAGATAAAAGTTCTGGAAAGGATTATTACTAGTTAATACGTTTTATAAAAATGTGTTGATAAAAACTTTTATGTTAGAATAATTGAAATATCCCTAGAGCTTTCTTTAAATAAAAAACAAGGAGTTTTAAAGCATTTATACACTTAAAAGTATAAATGAATGATGAAAATATCAATATACAAAGATAATTAAAATTTATAATTTAGCAGGAATGTTCTGAAGATCACAAAAAGATATTTAGAGTAAAATTGTAAAAAGATTAGTCAAATTAAAAGTGTTTGAGAACTGTAGAATCATAATTTAGAATTGACCAACTTATTACTTTTAATTGATTCTGACTTATAAAAAGGTGCTTGACCAATTGATGGTCACAAAATAGTTTGATCAAACATATAAGTTTAGTCAATTGTTCTTTTGTTGTTTGCAATTTGATGAGGTTATTACCATATCAATCTTGATACACAAATAACTTGATATTCTTGATCAACTTAACCTAGGAAACTTACTTTCTGTCTGATTAGTCGTTATTTATATTGTTAATGTATAAAACATTATAAATTCTATGTATATCCTAATATTATTCAAATCGATCTAGCAGGAAGAAGGCTGGGCAGTGTGTAGAGTATTCAAGAAAAAACTAGCAACATCAATAAGGAGAGAAGGAGACCAATTATACCAACATGAGTCACTATGTTGGTATAACGATGACCAATTAGTCTCCAATTTCACATCTAATTTTGACTCTCCACCACGTAACAATTTTCCAAATCCCTATAATGTTACACCTTCATACCATCATCAATTACCCTACAACAATATGCATCAAAACCCTCATAATAATGATGCATTATTTCTTCAACTCCCTCAATTAGAGTCACCCAAGATCCCTCCATCCTATGGATCAATCAACAACAACTCAATGTACAATAACAACAACAACTATGATCAAGTGACCGACTGGCGAGTACTCGATAAATTTGTTGCATCTCAATTAAGTACTCAACAAGATGGCTACAATGGTGCTTGCTCTAGTTCCACAGCATCTGAAAAAATGAACATGCAGCTTCAAAGTGATACCAAGGGACAAGAAATGAGTTCAGAAATTGCATCATTATCTGCTTCAAGTTCACAATTTGATAATATATGGAAGTAATATATATAATCATAGAAAATATATGATGATGATGATGATTGGATTTGATATATGTACTTATAAATTGTGTCAGTTTATGTACATAATAAAACTCAAATATGGTACGTGATGTATTAGAGGTTTAAAAATTTGTACTCATCTATAAGAATGAATGAAATTAGTATTTAAGAAAAAAGGACAAAAAACATATAGAGGACCTCTAATATATGTATATAGTACTATTTCAAGGCTAAAGATCTAACATTTTTTAAAAAATTTCGATCATTTCTCGATTTGTACATCATGTCTTACTTTTTAAATATTTTTCTAATTTTATCGGATATTCAAAAAAATTACTGCGATCTAAAGAAATAAAATAATAGTATGATACTATAATTTCCAGAATAATTGTGTTTATACTTTATACTAACTAATTTTCTCCAGCTGAATGTTGAAGTGTTTTTTCGGTATTATTTAAAAAAAAATTAGATTTATTTTTTAGCAGATGGAAGTAGCTAATTTATATTGAAATGATTATGCTGTCAATAAAAACTTCTCATTTGGTCTAATTAAAAAAAAAAGATCGTGAAGATATGAATTTCTAAGTAATTAATAAGTCTGTGTTCTCGATTTCTAATTACACAAAATGTTTTTATAAGTTGAAACTTATTTAACAAAAAGAAACAATTAATTAGACTAAAAAGAAGTTAAAAATTTATTAAACTAATTACGGTAAAAAAAAAAACTCGTAGGAAGCTACGGGTAAGCCTATTATCTATACTCCTACAACTCATATATAATTGAATTTATCAAATTTATCAACCTCTTATATGCACCTTAAGTCTCATAATTACATCTATATTTTGCATCCAAACTTGTAAATCTAACAATGCAAAACTATTGTTAGTGTCAACTAAAGATAAGCATTTAATTTGACATGTACTAGTATGTGTGCATATTAAATTATTAGCCTTGTGCAAGCTATGCATATTAAATTATTAGCCTTGTGCAAGCTAGTCATGTACTTACTGTAATATAACACAATAGAGTGTACGCTGACCTTATTTTTATCTTATAAAGATTAAAAAAAATTGATTTTTGAGGATTTTTCGATTGAAGTATAATAAACTAAAGTAATTATGAAAAAGAAAAATGAGAAGATAAAACATGACAACTCATAAGAAAATTATATAGTAAATAATAAAGTAATAAATCATAAATATAATAGAGTTGCTAACGTGATTATTATGCAAAGAATAGCCTTCTCATGGAAGATATCAATAATGCGCGGTTAATTCCACTTTAATAAGAAGCAAAACTGCTTAACACTTCCAAATTACGATAAAGACAATCGTTTACATTTTAAACAATTTTTTATTTATTAATTTATAAATGAGGTGATCATACGATTCAATATTTATCAAAGCAGACAATATTTCAAACTACGATCTATTATCAAAAAGAAATTTACACATCAAGTAAAAGAGTAGTGCACCATTTCTATTGTTTTTAATTGCCAGGATCGTGAATTAATAAGAAAGTTTCTAACTGCAAAGCATAATTAAAACTAAGTAGTTAAAACAAATCCTCTAGATTAACGAAAACCTTCTTGTTTGCCCTACCTTGAAGTTCAAGAATACCTCATATTAAATAAATCAATACAAATGAATAATAAATCTAGATAACTATATTTAAAACTTAAATTCCCATTAAGTCATCACTTGAAGATTCATAATTCAGCTCACCTTAATTTATCTTCGAATATTGAAAGCCATTTTGTTGATCTAAGGTAGAGGTAAGGTCTAGCGTACTACACTCCACCATCCTCAGACCTCAATTTGTGGGACTACGTACACCGAATATGTTGTTGTCGTTGATTTTGTTGCTACGTACGTAGAAGCTCAATACCTAGAGGAGTATTAATTTGTGTATTCTATAGGCTATATATAAGGTGGAAGAAGATGGTAGTTGTATATATATATGTAGAAATTCAAATTTTAGTTGGTGTTAAATACTCAAAGAACTTAGCGGATAAGTGAGGGAAAAAAGGACGGAACAATTTGATAACATAATTATGCAATAACAATAAGAAGAAACTAAAAAGTGTTTTTGTTTTTGTTTACTTTTTGAGGCAGTTAATTATTATAGAACTTAGTAGTAATAATCATGGTTTTTTACTTTGATGTGGTTGAAATTGAACTCAAACTTGACATTCCCTTTCAAGCAATGCTCAATTTTTGAGCAGACATCATTATTGAGCGTGCTTTGTTGCTCTCATAATTAACCATTCTAAAGCACTCCGATGTAGAGAGTATGGGGCACGATGATAAAATTAGTTCATAAAAATACGACTCGTACAATCCGTTTAATTCTTAGAGGGATGATGACCCCCGTAATTAACAACAAAGGCATGTGATAACTAAATCACAAGACACAAATGGTAGCAACATAAATCACAAGACATCAAATTTTGCAAAAACAAGACATGTTTTTTCATGTTTCTTTTAAATATTTTTGAGTCATCAATTATATATAGTAGTCTTTTATGCAGTTTTCAAATATATAAATTTTATTTCAGAAATTTATAAAATTTCATGCCCAAATTTATGGTCAAACTTAATTAAACTGTTTGACTTTTCAAATTTGAATTGTGCTATATAAATTGAGACATAGAGAGTAATAGTACTACTGATACTAAAAGAGAAACACGTGCGTGCATGATATACTACCCCAAGCCTAATCCATAGGAAAGCGAGACAACGTATAATATTTATGATCTCCAAAATCTTCCTATCTAAAGTTATATGCTCGGTGACCTTAGTCTTTTTTTCTTTTCTTTTTTGAATTGGGTAGGTGGAAGAAAAACTAATTCACCATTTGTTTAGTACTAGGGATGGAAAATAAATTAAATCAGTCCATGCGCATTCATGCAAGTCATGTGTGAATATATTATTATTAGGATTATTGTTGCACTCTAGTTGTGTTGTTTTGAGGACTATGGAATATTAATAATAAAATTAGCATTGACTCAATTATTAAAAATCCATGTGATGTCCCATCATTGTTCTACATCTTTTTACACCCTAGATCCCAGACCATCACTGTCTCAATTAAAACAAATTTGGCCCTCATTCTATCTACTGTCTTAATTAATTAACAACCACTAACTTTTTTTGTTAATTATACTAATTTATAATTAAATTAGTGATTATCATCAGTTTATTTGATGCATCCATAGGATCTTGAAACATGCTTTCTTTGATTCCTCGTATATATTTTCTTTAGTTAATCTCATATATTTTAAATCTTGTCCTATCCTATAAAGACGTAGAATTTTGACTTCTTGTAATTTTTTTCTACTTTATTAACTCAGTTCATTTTAATTCGTAGAAGTGACATTGCAAAATAAAATTCCATGATTATTTATACAATAATTGTGCTTTGCAAATATCAAACTTAATTACAAATCCATCTCTTTTGTACTATTCATTGGTATTGTTGCCTTTGTTGCAAGTCTTTTTGTATTCATTCAACCTTGATTGTAGAGAATGGACCATTCATTTTGCCTCATTATTAAGACAAGAAATAGAGGCAGTCAAAATGATGAGCAAGTGATGCCCAAAAAGGAAACATCAATTTTCTACTTTTAACATTCCTTTAATTTGACAAAAGGCATGCTAAAGCAACAGTAAAACAAGGAATTAAGTAAAAAACAAGCAAGTCATTTGATCGTTTTTCAATCATTGCACAAGACTTTGACCAACAACCTCAAAATTAAGATCACTCGAGAAATTTTAGTAGTTCAGTTAAAAAGACAATTGATACCAAATCCTTTAAAATGCACTACTTTCAAAAGATTCAGAACGTACCTATCGATATTTTTAAAAAGTTCGAACAAAATATACACAATATTCTATAACAACTTTCAAAAGGTTCAAAATGTGAAGCATTAAAACAAGAGTGCAAGATGAACAATCATTACTTCCTGCAATGATATCATTTGTGTCACATTGTTATCTTTTTTGTAAAATTTCAATGTTCATTTTCATCCAAACAATTGGGACCACATCTACACAATCAAGGTAACATGTTTTAATATTGTTCCAATTCCTCTGCCTTAACACAAAAAACAAAAACAATTGACAATAACAAACTGATGGCTGCAACAAAAAACTAAGATTGTTTAAAACAAATATATCATCAAGACATCAACAAATATTGATGTTTCAAGATTTTGTATTCAAATTAAACTTTTGCATCCATATTGAAACATAATTGAACCAATAATTCTCAAGATGTAGCTTATGTTTTCTGCCTGAGTTAAACTGTGCACGCATAATTTGAAGGAGATGCCAGAACTCTTTTCTTTCTTCATATATTTATGTACATGGACATTTTTTTTCAGCTTGCTTCACAGAGACCAGTGGCTGAATCACAAAATCCATCACGATCGAGCAACTGCTGAGGTGGAGCGCTAAGCAGAGGAGACGATGGACTTCCATATGCATTTCGTCTACTATTCCCACAGCCTAGACTTTTTCTGGTGCTAACTCCTGTCACGGGGTTAGTCCCACTAGCATACTTGCAAAGTGCCTGAAAATAAGCATAACATGTGGGATTGAGACAACAATAACTAATAGTGAGACGTTGTGGAAGTAAATAACAAAAGAAGCTCATGTTTATCACACGAAGACACAAGATTATGTTAGACGATCCAGCAACATGCTCGTTAAAGAAGGGGAAATAGGTTGGTCAAGGCCATGAGCATTAAGACACATTTCTCGGAGACAAGTTGCATCTGAAGCGGTTACAAGGATTACCTGTTTCTGCAGGAGGTCTATAACAGCATCACTGAAATCAGCACCTTCAATGATGGCACCACCAAGGTCACTCCGAGTCAAAACAGATCGAACAAGAACAGCATTAGTGAGATTAGCTTCATTAAGTACCTACATTAAATGAAAAAAAAAAACAAAGCTATCTTCACATTCTGAAAGTGAAGTGATCATCATTTCGCAAGAATCTTTAGCCGATGTAATTGTCATGACTAAAAATCGACTTTAAATTTGAATCATACACTACAATGTGCATACCATCCGATCCATCAATGTGTCACTCAAATCTGCACCTGTAAAGACCAAAGCAAACCGAAATTAGCAATATCTATGGTCTGAACCACCCTATATTTTTGAATCAAAAACAGAAAATTTTGCAAGTAGTAGTAACAGATCTACATCTATTGAACCGGATAAGACAATCATCAAGGAGATAATAAAGTATATTAAACCTCCCAAAATGTTGGTTCAAATGATTGAATTCAATGAGTATGAGTGTCTTTTGCGCTCTCTGTTGCTCGGACTCTTCAAAATGTCGCCACACCCGTGTTGAAGTATACTTTTGGAGGATCCGACATGGATCTGTTGACATTTTTAAGAGTCCGGGCAGCATGGCTTACACTTTAAAGCTTCGTGTTTTTGTAGATTTTTCGCCAAAGGATATATACCTATAAGTGTAATTAAGTGGAGCACCTCCTAGCAGATTCTTGTTAGTTTTGTAACATCGATCTCTTTTTTCACTCAATATTATTCGCCTAATTAAAGGATGTTAGTAGTAAAAAATATCTACTTTTTCAATTAAATTTACTATAAAAATGTGAATATTACAAAAACGTACCCCAATAGTAGCTAAATTATGGGCACTTTCAAGCTGCTAAAATATTTGTATTATAATTTAAATATTTGTTAATAATAAAATTTGAAGGGTTTTATTCAGGGTATAGTGATAACTCAGTAAAAATCGGTCAGCTCACCATAAAATCCTTAATGCTACAAAATCCCAAACAACAATTTCCACAAAAACCTTCTAAGAACAGGTAATGCTCTTTCTTTAATTTCTTTTTAAAAAAATTGCTACTATTGTTTCATTAATTTGAATTTTGGACTAATTACTTTGTATCTCTTTTTCCGTCTTTAATTTACTATTTTTTCTGAGTGTTTTCTAGGGTTCTCCTTTCTTGGTTGTTGTTCTTCTCTAGACTCATGGATTACGCTATGACTTTTATTTTTTTTTGGTTATAGTAGTCCCTCAGTCCCAATTTACTTGACACTTTTTGAATTAAGAGATTTGTGACTTATTATACTTGTAAAAATTTGAAGATTTCATTCGTAAATTACTGGTCAAACGTAAACTATTTGACTCTCGAAAAACGAAAAGTGTCACATAAATTGGAATAGAGGGAGTAATAATTTTTTGCATTAATTCTGAACTGAGTTTTTGAAATAAGCAGCTGAGGATGGAGAACTTGAAATCATTAGTAGGAGATGCTAAAATTTCTCCCAAGTGTATAATGTCCAAGTTTAAGAGATCAAAGATAGCTGCGGTACGCAGTTTTCCAGAGAGCTTTAAGCGATTTGATAATGTTGTGGTTGGAGAAAAGTTAGTATATGGTGAGCCGCTTGTGGTTTGTGAACGAAATGCAGATTCAACATTAGGTTATGAGATTCCAGGGTATAAGAAGGATGGTGGACAAATTGCTCAGATAGGAAGTGTTGATGAGTCTGGAAGTACTGAGCATATAGATATGATGAAGGTTGTAGATACGCTTACACGGAATTTTCAGGTGGGTGATGGAGATTGTGTTGATATGGTAAATGAGTTAAAAACAAGAGAATGTGATAGGATTAAGCCGAAGAGGCGTATGGTTTCCTCACTTCGTGATTTTCCAAAGGATCTTAAGAGTTATGAAGTAGTTGACAAGAAATACCAAGAGCATTGCGCGGGGAAATCTGGTGATGTAGAAACAAATGATGAATTTGACGAACATTTGAGGATTGAGTTTATGTCTCAAGGAGGTTTAGTTGATCCCGTGGTAGGTGCATTCTCGAGTGGAGAAGAATTTGAGAAACAAGAGTCTGTGGTGACGGTCAAACTAGTGGCAGTATTACAATGTGATGTAGATTTGGAGTTCCATGATGAGGCTATCAAGGATAAAGAAGCCATTGGCGTGTTTGAATGTAGGGAGCATGATAATAACAGTTTTCCAATGGTTGAAAATGTTCCAATTGTAGAGAAAGCATTAGAAGATGCGGAAAATCCTCATTTGCTAAACAAGCTATGTTTGCTGGTGTACCCTTGTCTGTTTCCAAAAAGACGTAAAGTGTCTGCAGTTCGTGATTTTCCGAATGCATTTAACATCTTGAAAGCACATAACGAGGCATCAGAGAAAAACCTGAAATACAGAGAAGCTAACAAATTGGGCCGGGCAAATGAAACAACATGTGATTCCCAAGATGATGAAGAACACATTGAAACTGAGATTGAGTCTCAAGAAAGTTCAGCTCCTACTGAGAAGGGCTTATCTCACAGTTTTAGGACATTACTCACTCCTAAGGAAGACACTCTAAATTTTGGTGCAAATACGGTTCATAAACCAACAAGCGTAGGGCATGATGGTACTGGTGCAGATAAACAAGAACTGTCAAGTTGTGGAGCTAATTTTACACCGTTAAGCACACAGAGTAGTTCAGAAGTTACGGGCTCTAACAAGCGGATTGGAGGAAAGGAAATAGGAGTAAAATGCGTACACAAAACTATTGTCGAGGATTCAAGGGCTACACGAAGATGTCCCAGCATGCCAACCCAACCTTACCGATCAGAAACAAAAACTAATCAAAGCAAAGGCAAAGTTCTAAAGAGAAAACAGAATAAAGGATCAGCGCCAATAAATGTTATTCTGGCATTGATGGCTCCTACCAGAGTAAAAGCTACAGAAACTAATGTGTAATCTTAGCACAGTTTTCTGATGGAACGGAAGAGGTAAAACAGCTAAAGGGAATTTATCAGTATCTTCATATGACGTTCTTTGACAATGAATAAAACGATAATCCATCAACAAATAACACTTGTTTGTTCATATATCTAAAGTTCTATCTTGTATATTGCTATGTTTTAGGTATGGAAAAGTACCTGAGAAGTTCGCTTTATATGCAACTGCTTTCTCTAGGTATGCACCATTGAACGTTGAACCACTGAAATCCGATTCCCTCATATCAGCAGATGTGAAATTGGCTCTTCTGTATCAGCAAGTCCAATGGGAACATGAATACTAGTCTGCACTGACAAAACTTCTTGTTCTACAGTTCTTGTTGAATGACTTTACAATTTACATTTTCTGGTTTCGTTTCATGCTAAACTACTGGTTCCGTAAAACCGATTCAACAAAATAGAAAAAATGCTCCCTCCATTCCAACTTATTCATCAGTCTCCTCATTCTGAGACATTCTAAAATATTTGACATAAAAATTTCAATCAAGTGAAGTTGTTGTTTACTATAACATTTACCATGTCAAGTTACTGATTTGGGAATTCAAAGTTATGTTCTTTATCAGAGTAATTCACCTTATTGGAAACAATTTCTCAGGTAGTAGTCTCCAGACTGCACTACACTAGGTATGTTGTTGTTATCAATTAAACATCTTATCTACACAAATAGTATCATCCTATAGCAGAGGATAGGTTACCTGAAGTTTTCATTTGTATGAACTGTTTTCCTGCAAATCAAAACAAAAACAGAAATACTGTTTCAGACACATCATAAATCACAAAAACATAAAAAAATTAAAGGTTGCAATTGAAAAAAAAGAACTAACTTTAGGTCAGCAGAACCAAATTGAGCAGCAGAACCAATACCAAATTCACCCCTTGTATCTGCCTCAAACTTATTTAAGTCAGCCATAGCAGCCATGTTTGAGCTAAATGTAATCACTGCAGCTGCTAATGCAGTGGAAACTATGGCCTTCCACTTCTTTATTTCTATATTTGAATTTGATTTTTCCACTTGACAAACAATTTTGGAGGATTTTTGAGGAATAAAAACTTTATAATAACGAATAGATGAGGAAGAGATGTTAATGGATTTTATGGGAAGTAATGAGATGGAATTAAGTGCCATTTTTGTGTGTGTGTGTGTGTGTGATTTGTTTCTGTCAAGAACAAAGGGATTTCTAGATGGATTTTTTTTTCTTTTGTCCACTTCTTTCAACCACAATTCTTTGGACAAATTGGATAGGCTTTGTAAAGTGTACATATGTATTCTCTCCTGTTCTGTTTTTTTTTACATTTCTATTTTGTGAGGAATAGGTAGTTGTTGTGAATCCAATGACAGATGGTCATTGTTGTGTAGCTGTTTTTCTAAAGAACAGATTTGGAGTTCGAGTTTTGAAAACGCTTTTCCTCAAATGAGGATCTATATAATACAAATTTGAAATTGTGAGCTTTAATATTCAGACATTAGATGAAAAATCGAAAAAAAAATAAATTGGGATCTTTTACGTAAATAATAATCAGATTTTTTTTTAAAGGTCCATATAACACATAAATTATAAACCAGATGAATTTGTTAGTTTAAGAACTTGGGTTTACAATTATTTAAGTTAGTTTCGATAAATATATTACTCTCTCACTGAATACTGAATGTCATGATACTTTTTTAAAAATCTAAGATTTAAATTATATTTTTATATTATTATAGTAAGCAATATTTAATTATTTGAGACCATCTTCATCCTAAATTATTAAATGTACCTTACTATTTCACAAATTTTCAACAAATACATGAAATATCACGCTTAAGTTGGTTATTGTGATTCTAAATTTATTTAATTTAAGATATCTAAATTACGAGGAGGGAGTACAGATAAAATTGACTTTAAATGAATATAAAACAAACATAATATGGGCCTGCTTTTCACATTTAGCATTTGAAATGGGCCTATGTCGGACAACATAAATAGTCCAATGGGCCGATTCTAATCCTAACAGGCCCATATAATATAATCTGCTGGACTTGCTTCCAGACCTAAAAATCCATTTTGTTACTTCATGGATCCTAATATAAAATGAGAGATTTTAATTCATCTAAAAATAAGAAAAGGGTTGGAAAAATATTATGGAGTGTAATCCGTACAATGAATAATTGATTGAAAGATTTTCTTCTACATATCGAAAATTGATAAGAGTGGGCAGAGTTAGAAGGGAATTGAAGAGTTCATACGAATCTTCTTTACAAAAAAATTACATTACGTAAAGAAATTTTTATTTAAGTACATATCAATGGATTTTGAACTCTAGATGAAAATCGTATTTGAATCGGAGAGACAGCATTTATTCTTGCACGAGCTAAGTAGGTGGTACTCATTAATAAAATGGACCATTTATGTGATGTGCAAGGGAGAATCTTGCATATATAATAATTGTTCAATTAGTCGAATGTTGAGATATTTATTAAAAGTTAAAAGTAATAATAACTTAATCATTTCAAAAATGTTAGGCTGATAGACTAAGCCCGTATTAACGACTCTAAATACAGCTATAGAAATTAATTACAATCGATATAAAGTAATGATGGTTTTACTAATAGCCCACAGTAAGTTATATAAAGATTCTGAAACATAAAAGGGATGTGTTTTACTGTTTAAAAGAGGACGAATCAATGTAAAGAGTAATGGACCCTAGCTGTGTACAACAAATAATTAGTACACTACCACCATACTTTAGTCCTCTCACCAGCCTAACATTTGTCTCATTAATTCATTCTTTAAATATCTCGTTAAGAGGTCGTTTGGTAGGGTATATATAAAATATTAATATTTAATATATTAGAAATTAATAAAGATATATATTTTTAATTTTACTTTAGCTGATATTTATATTCTTTAATTTCGGGTGTACACAAGCAGGTATTTAAATTTGTAAAAAATTAAACAGATAGAAAGACATATCTTATGTAACATAATACATGTAGGACGTTACATAGAACAGAAAAATTGTCATGTAAGACAAATAAGTCTATTATTCAATTCTATACAAATTTAAGTGTCTAGTTATGCATACTCAAAGTTGAAGGATATAGATAGCAACTACAACAATTCTAAAGGACAGATTTATATATTGTGCATAAAAATAATATGTGTTGCATAGTTTATATTTGTTTATTTTTACAGAAGAACCCTTCACGAGTAGGTGGAAAAGGCTTTGAGAGGTGATTGTTACTTTAACCATGTTAATACATGCATTAATTAAAACTCCTTGCATCACTCATAATATGGATTTTCATGTATTAGTTATATACAGGGGTAATTCGATAGTGTTAAAAAAAGACATGTATCTTAAGTTCTCAAATTTAAGGGGCCTCATTTTTATAATAATAGGTTATAAGTTATTATTTTTAACAAAATCGAATACTATTTGTAGAAAAAGTAAACATTTCATGAAAAACGTAGAAATTATTAGAAGAAATTTGACATATTTTGAGTACTATAACTTATTAAATAATTTAAAATAAGAATAGTTATATTATGAGGTGAAAACTAGAAAAAATAAATTATATAAATGTTATTAACAATTCAAATTTAAAGCCCTATTTGATTTTTCTTTTAGACCATCAATACGCTTGAGTCGCTCCAAATTATATATATATTTAATATCAAATTAAATATAGTGTAAAACTTACACATAGATTAAAAAAGGTTTGTCAAACAAGACATTTGATATAATAATACAAAGTTAATGAGTATATTATTTTATTTTAATGAACTTTGCATAACGATACCTAAGAAGTCAATATATCTTTTTCTAAAATACTTCACAAATAAAATAATATAAAATATACATATATTTTATCTATTTTGATCATATTCAATTCTGTGTTACACGTTATAACAAAATAAATATAAAATTTAGGTACATTTCATCTATTTGTATCATATTTTTTATTCTGAGTATGTTAGTCGTTGAAGAAGTCAATTTATAGCTTATGATTTTAAAGCATAGGCCAACAACAATCAAGGTGCCATATTTATAAATAAATTTTAAAAAAAAAGGTACCTTTTGTGGGGCTCTCCAATGTCTCTCTGTATTTGTCCACGCAAACACAACTCAGTGTATACCATTTGTGGCCTGTGGGGTTTTTCTAATTTATTACACTATTCTAATCGTTTAACACGATCTATTCAGTGGCGTAGCTATATATAACTTAGATAGCTTATAAACATTATATATATATATATATATATTAAAATCTTGAACTTCTTAACAAAGTTTATTACTTCGAAAATAAATCAATCACCTCATATACATGAAATCGTCAAATAAACAGGTCATTTGCATTTTTGTCCAAAGTTTGTCTTGCTAATTGTCAAATTAAAACTACTTCATATAAAACAATTTATTATTGTGATATATAACACATCAAATAATTAAATACTACAAATTATATAAATAAAATTTTCAATGAACTGAATTTGAAAATTATCATACTTTTATGCATTAATTATTTCATCTTCTAGACTAGTCCCCTACACATTCTTTTGATTGTCTTTTGTGTTAGGCTCGAATATCAACACCCCCTTCTCTATTTATGCTATGGTTATTCATAAAATTCTACTAAGAGCACTAGCCCACTAAATAAATTAATAAATAAATAAAATAGTCACGTATTAATAATTAAAAAAAAACAAGTTAAATATTAGTTTTCTTTGCATCCTCAGATTTTATAAACAGCTAAACTAACACAAAATAATATACTCCATGTCACCATCCATTTTAAAACGAAGGATATTTTATTTAGCGACACATTTATTTCAATTTTACATGTTACGTGTAAAAATAAATAGTATTTAATATATTTAACCTTATTTTAATTTAACATTATGATATCAATTTTTTTTTAATTTTTTTAAATTTTATGTCATATCTATTATTATCGGTCACATGAATGATTTGACGGATCTTGGGAGCTACTATAATAGATATTGTAGAGTGGAAGAGGCTAATCGGTGATACCACTAGAATGTTCTCTTTTGGGTTATATGGTCAAATTCAATATATACTTATTTTAAGTCTTCCGTTAGAAATAGAGTTATAAAATTTATGTAGATTTTATTTTGTAAAAATATTAATTTTTAAAATAACAATATTAGATATGTTGTTGTAATTGTAAATTCAATTTTATAACTTAGAGCATGTCTTAATTTGTTGATGACATAAGGTGAATAAGCTTTTTAAGTGGTGATTTTTTTTTAAAGGTAGATATAAACAGTTACAAGTCAGTTTTAATATTTTTTTAAAAAAAAATAATAATTATGTTTTTGAATAAAAGTATTGACATTTTTTAATAAATAATTGATCTTCGGTAAAATATATCTGATAAGGTTTTCGTTTACTAAACTGCCCTTAAATTTTGTGAAAAAGTATACAAATTTGTAACATCCGTGTAAACAAGAGAGGAAAAGACAATTATGGATTTAGGAAGTTAGAAGTTTTGTTTTAAAAATGATATTTAATGTTAGAAAAAAAAATTGAAAGATTGAATGTATAGTACGTAAAATATTTGATCAAGTTTCAAATGATTTTGACTTCAATTTACATATAAATAGTTTGATGTTTACCAAACATTGTAAATAGGTTTTGAAATGCTTCTAAATTAGATTGTCCAACTAATAAATTTAACTAAATTTGTCTAACTCTTTAGCATATATATAACCACTCTAATGATTCTTTTTTCCACTTCAATAAGTGTTGTTTTGACTAAAAATAAAAAAACGTTACACCTAATCCCTAACCAGTTGATTGTATTTAGACTTCTTTTTCACTTAATTAATTAAGCACATTTAAGCATTTAATAATTCCTAATAATGATTAAAGAAACATTAGGGTTCTTCTAAGTGAATATAAATAGTATTTATTCAAATTAGAATTTTACATTGATTTGCTTTGTATTATTGTATCAATTCGCTTTATTTCTATTCTCTCTCTGATACATTGACATCGAGCAAATAAATATGAAGTTAATCAGTACAAATTAACGTTTTGTGTCGCGAGTTTTGTAATTAAACTATTATAACATTTGGTTATCGATCAATTGTTGATATTATTATTATTATTAATGAAGTATCGTTATTTTTGAAATTTCATAGAAGTGTGTGGGGATTCGTGCAAAAGTAGTGAATGGATCTAAAAAAAGGTTAGACAAAAAAGAAAGTAAAAAAAGATAAAGGAAAGGACAAAATAGGACGGTAAAAGTATTTGACACAACTGAGATGTTTTTATTTTTCACTGACTTTGAATTCATTTTTTCTGTAAAGTGAGAAGAGAATGAATGGTCAAATCATCAAAAGTAATGTTTTAGCTAGTCCTTTGTACTGTTTACATATTATCACATAATCATGGCTATATAATTAGTATTTAAAAAAACACCATCATTATACAATTATTTATATTTTCAAAACCCTAGGGAGGCGGAGACGAAAGGGGGGGTAGTAGGGTTCAATTGGATGGGATATATTACTAGTATTTGGAATTTGGAATTAATGTGGATATGGCTTAATGTCCTGGGGTCACAAGAAAGTTCTTCAAAAAGCTTTTTCTAGGGTTTTGTGTTTTTCTATTTTTATCTTTTCAAATAGTTATTATTTGTATGATGTTATGAATGGTAAATGTTTTTTTTTTACGATACGAATGTATTTTGACATGTTTTAGTCGTTAGATGAAAAAGACTTTTTTATTTAATTATATATTTGAAACGATCGAGTCAAACTTGGGATCTCTATATGCTCTAATGTTACATTTAAATGTATTATTATTGCACCGAATATCTAGTTTAAGTGGTTAGAGATAGTGTTAAAGAATGACAAAGTCTCATTGTGTGGGTAATGGAGATGGGTGAACTTCTTATAACGCTTGGGCAATACTTCTTCCTTTGAGCTAGCTTTTCGGAAGTGAGTTAGGTCTAAGATCTGATATCAGAGCATGATTCACCTCACCTAATGTTGGGGCTTCCCAAAACCAAAATTTCCTATGCTCCAAATTTTAAGATCGGGCATGAGGTGGGAGTTAAGAATGACAAAAGTCTCATATTGATGGTTAATGAGGTGGGTGGACTTTTTATAAGGCTTGGACAATTCTCCTTCCTTTGAGTTAGCTTTTGGGGTATGAGTTAGGTCCAAGACCTAATTTCAGAGATTGTACTATTGTCTCCCGATATTAAGCTCCAATATTCAATTATTCATGCTTCAGTTAGTAGAATTAAGCGTGTGGGGTGTTTAATTGTCTCATACCGGTGGGATATGGAACGTTTGGCCTCTCTACATAGTCCTAGTCAATCTCTACGTCATGAGCTAGTTTCGGCCACACATTATCAAAGAGAACTTATACGTGATTGGCTCATAAAAAGGAATTAAACTTTCACGCGACGTCATGTTGAGAATAATTAAATCCATAAAAGTGTGATATCTTTAACGATTTATAATAAAAAAAAAATTAAAATAAAATGATCATACACCATACTTTTACTCATTTACTTTCTATTATGTGTTGAATGTTTCTAAGAATATATTAATCTCTTCGTCTCAATTTATCTGGCACTATTAGACTCAACACCAAATTTAAAAAAGAAAGAAGTATATGCCTACACATTATTTCGTTAAGGATAAAACTAAATCATGAGATTCTTTTTTAGACCAGACTAAATTTTTATTAAAAAAATATCACATAAACGTAAAGTAATTGCTATGAAAAAGTTAAAAAGCATACCATTTAAAATTACAAACAATGAAAATAACAAGTGAATGTGTGTATTTGGGAGCTTTATAACGCCCCATGCAAAGGTCATTTTCTAGCTCCTCTCCCCCACATCTGCCGCATTCTGCCTTTCAATTCATACACATAACATTGGGAATGCCAACCACACAACATATGTTTCATCTTTTCTCTCTTAATTATAATACTACTTCATAAATTTTAAAACCATATTATAAAAATAAAATATATATATAATATTTACACATCCATGCATGTGCATTGTCCACTATATATGCATAACATACATAACATCCATCACAAATCTATAACAAACAAGACCAAGACATTAAGTAGTGTGCTAATTAATAGTGAGGGAGAAAAAAAAGGGTTTTTTTTTGCCCTCTCTGACTCTTATCTTCTTTCCTCAAAACTCATATCATCATAAGATACAAGGAAGTGTCAAAGACATCAATCAAATCAATCACAAAAGCAGGAGGAACCAATCAATTTGGAAAAGAATAAGAGAAATAATATAATGTCCTCTTCAAATAGCTTATCATTGGACCACCTTCCTCCTCCACCTCCTTCCGAGCAGCTCTGCTATGTCCATTGCAATGTTTGTGACACCGTCCTCGCGGTATATATATATATATAGATAGATAGATAGATAGATATACTAGTTTTTCAATCAACAATTACATATGTATATATCATGTTTTCTTATTAGGGTTTCTTGTGATTTTCAACTTGAGTTTTTTCTTTCAAGTCGTTTGGTTCAGAAAAAGGTTATTCCAAGATTATAATATTGATTTAATCTCATCTTTTACATAATAATAATCCCATCATGGATTTTGTGTAAGCTTTAATATCCTTAATCAAATACTCAAATAATTTCCTAATCCTCTAATTTACTAGAGTGGTTCTTTTGGCTCTTTTTTTTTTAAAGAAAATTTTTATCAAATGAGTTTTAAATTCTAAAAGATAGGATACAAGAGGGGGGTTTGACCTTATCTCGAAATACAACAAGAGGATAAATAACTCGATTATAGGAGGGCTAGGAGATTAATATCTACAAACTAAACCCCTCAAATATGAAATTTAATCTATATTAAGCCAACCAAAAAGTTGTGATTCTAACAATTTGCTTCTTTTTTTTTATGATTTTATTTTTAGGTAAGTGTACCGTGCACAAGTTTGTTCAAAACTGTGACGGTTCGATGTGGACACTGCACTAATCTTTTGCCTGGATGGCTTTTGCCTTCCACTAATCATCATCATCATCATTTTGGTCACACTTACTTCTCTCCTTCACACAATCTTCTGGTATGTTCCGAATATATCGCTCTCGTTTGACCATAGATTTTGAAGTTTTGTGAGTAGAACTCTCAAAAACTAACTCACGGAGCGAGTTTTTCAGAACTTAGAAAATATTTAAAGAATATATTTTCAAAATCTTGGTCAAACTCAAACCCTAGATAAGTGTATAGTTTTTTAAAAAAAATTGTTAGAAAAATTTGATAAATGACTATTGTTTTTAATTTGCAGGATGAAATAAGCAATGCAACCCCAAATTTCTTGATGAATCAGAGTAATTCTGCTCATGAATTTGTGCAGCTGCCTGCTCGACCTGGATTTGATGATCTTCCTAGACCACCACCCGTTGTTAACAGACGTGAGATATCTTATATTAAGAGTTTAAGTTATATGTACTGACACGATAAAATATTAAAAGTTTACCCTTATGTTTTGTGATGCTTCTTATTAAATAAAGTAAAATCTATTTTTTTTTTTCTCTTTAACATATACCAACTCTGAGTTTTTTTTCTGACTTTACTTTGTGATGAAAGATGAAACTAAAAGATGTCAAGTGTTTTGTGTAAGTAGTGTTTACATAAACAAGTCACACTCTCGTGAAAAGTAGAAAGATTGTTTGCGATAAACGTAATTAAAGTTATTTTTTCTTAATTTTGCCTGTCTTGTATTTACAGCTCCTGAGAAGAGACAGCGAGTCCCTTCTGCTTACAACCGATTCATCAAGTAAGACTCATAAGTTTCTGTCTTTCAATTTGTTTGTCTAAATTTGATTTAATACGAATTTAAGAAAGTGAAGAAAATTTTTGAACTTTTTTAATCTTCTATGTCAAATGTACTATAGCAATTCAACTTTTTAATTTTAAACATGTCATGTAAAGAAATTAGAACTAAAAAGTTGCTAAAAAGGAAAAATATTTCTTTTTGATATGGATTAAAAAGAAAAGTTGAACAAACAAATTGAAATGAAGGGAGTACAATGCACACATTTAGACATCTTTTTCTATAATTACAACATCTTATAAAGGTAATTATTAAGTATATATTTATATTTTCATATGAAATTAGACTATATATTAGTGTTTACAATTTTTTGCAGGGAAGAAATCCAACGCATAAAAGCAGGGAATCCTGATATTAGCCACAGAGAAGCCTTCAGCGCCGCTGCGAAAAATGTATGACTATGATCTTAATTAGGGTTTCTTTTAACTTACGTTTAGAACGTGTAGGGGTCATTTGATTCGCAGATTAAATTATTTCGGACTTATAGTTATGGAATCATAATATTTGGACTAATTTATTCCATTTGAAATGTGAGATAAAATAAAACTAAGTTTAATGGATAAGTTGGCATGTTGAGGATTAAGTTTGGAATTAAATTATAGTACTTTATATGGTTGAAGATATAAATACATCTTTAACTTAATTGTGAAATATTTAATCTGTTATCCCACGAACCAAACGACTCCTTAGGTTAAGAAACATATTTATGTGTGCAACAACAAAATCTTGATAACTGAGAATTAGGGTTTATACCATATGTTTTTATTTAAAGCTAAGTTTCGTACGTGATACTTTTTTTCTTTTTGTTGATGACACAGTGGGCCCACTTTCCACACATTCAATTTGGTCTCATGCCTGATCAGACTGTTAAGAGGACTAATGTGCGTCAGCAGGTATATTCGAGTCTCACTGTTATCCATTATTAAAAATGAAAATCATATGTTAAATTGTTAAATAAAAATCAAGTCGGCATGTGAGGGACATTTCATGAAGTCATGTGCTTTTTATAACAATTTATATTTTTTGATAAAATGATCGCACGCTTCAGATGTTTTTGTTTGATTTGTTGGTAGGATGGAGAAGATGTTCTTACGAAAGATGGTTTGTTTAATACATCAGCCAATGTTAGTGTGTCTCCTTACTGATGATGGGATGAGAATCAAAAGTGAACAAGTTTTGAGATGGATGCAGAAGCTATATTAGTAGCTAAATGTCTAAGTGTCTAACCAATTAATGTGACTCTTCTAGCATGTTCAATGTGTGATTTTTTTTTCTTTTTATCTTCGTGTTGAAGTGTACTTTTGGCTTCAATGTTTCAACTTTTGCTTGAACATTATTCACTTTTTGCTTTAGCACTACATTTTCATGAACTAAAATTTGTACTACTAATACTACTATATATTGTGTTGTATTAAAAGTTAACCACAAATGAAACAACAAACATGGGTAAATAGTAGTAGTTAACGTCAATATACATGTTTTTGTTGCAAGGTAACAAGAATTCTATAAAGTTAATCGAGGTGTGTCTAAGTTGACAACCCTATCTATATATAGGTTGATATTGCTCAAGTTCATTACAGCAATATTACCAAAACTCTTCAATCTAACTAATAACATTTTGCAAGTGAAAATCTAATTTTGACTCCGCCTACTGCCCACTGGTTTGACTTTAATCAGTAAGATTCCAAGACAATGTCATAGAATTTGAAACATCTACATTTAAAACTTCAGGGCAATGTCTGAAGTTTTACTATTTGACAGAGGTAAAAACACGAAGGCAAAATTAACATTGCATTTCTGGATTTGGTGTGTGCGTGTGTGTTGGTTGGGGTGGGGGTGGGGTACAATTATAAAGTTATAATAGCATTTAAAAACAATATGTTAAATCATGATATCAATATGCAAATACAACAAAAATATTGAGAGGAAGCTAAGTGATTATTTTTATCAAAGTTATCGCATCTAAGAGTTAAAGTAGTTAGAAAGAACACATTTTATTAGTTAATTATATTCTCAACACGACCTAACACGTGCTTAAACTATTAGAGAAAGCACACTTAATTAGTTAATCGTATTCTTCAACAAAGAAAAGTCTTTTCACTGCTAATATTAATGTGATGTGAAAGTCATAATTTTTCAAGTATATTCAAATAGTGGTTATAAATAGAATGGGAAATTAGGCGGTTAAATAAACATATATTGTACTAGTTAATTAACCAATATAGCTATAATTTGAGTTAGTTGCCACTCACAATCTCTTTTTAGTTATAATATATATATATATATATACCATTTACATATATACAATTATCTGACAGATATATATATATATATAATTTGATAGATATACAAATACAATTCACTTCTCTCCACTATGTGCTCTCTCTTGCTTGCTTCTCTTCTCCCTTTAACATGTAGTTACGAATCGTAATCAGCAAACTATAGCTATGGTTCTGATTAAGTAATGTTAAGTTGCGAAATTTCCTCTAAATTAAATTATTATTGGCCCAAGTGTTTGGCGAGCCCAAGTCAATTTTTTACCAAATTTTGAGTATTGTAGTTCCGAATCTCAGGGCCCAAAGTAGTCTAAGAGCCTGTTTGGACATCAAATCATAAATTGAAATTAGCGTTGATTAGAAATTGAAATTTTATTTAAATATGTCATTTGAGTTTTTTAAGTTATAATTTTTCTCCTAAAACATCAAATAATTAATATCTCTTTTACATTTCCCTTTCATTAGTTAGCCTCATAATGACATTCAGGAGACATAAAGAAGAAAAGAAATGTGGACCATTTATATGATTAATTGTGTTATATATTTCAACAATTAATATAAAATGATGTTCAAAAGTCATGTGATTTTTGTATTAATTAGTTCAACTTATTCTGTTTACTGTTCAATATATCTTTTCATTTGTGTCATAGAAGTGACTGGTTTATGATTCTGTTGGTAGTTGCCTTAATAGAAATGGAAAAACAAGGATTTGATCCCTACAGCAAGATAAACAAATCCTTAAATTATTAGAGAATAATAATATTATTAATTTTATTATTATACCAAATTTGTCTTTATATTAAGGAATGAGTTTGAACTTTTAATCATGCCACATTGTATTCGATAGTCGATATACATATAATTATATTAATTTAGTAAAGTTTATTATTAATTTTTTATCCTACCCTTAGACCTTAGTATTGAATAATTATATAGTTAAAATTAAAATTCCAAAAACATTATTAACAAAGTTAATTTGCTAGAATAATACATTTCTAATTTTATAAAAGATTAAGTAATGCATCATATCAGCAAGAACCAGCTGCATTACATTTATTAGTTAATGACAACCTAGGCACCTCACGTGAATTCATGTGACGGTTTTGGGCCCAAGTTTGACTACGATTATTTTTGCCTTTTTTTTTGTACAAAAATTCAAAGGCTTAATGTGTACTTACATCAAAAGGGCAAATTCTTTTTCGATGTCATAAGATTGTGATGAGATACATAAAATTTATCAAAATAAATTATTATGAATTTTTTCTTATGACTTGGTTTCAATGATTAAATATGCCCTCCAACTTTGCGTTTACACAAGTGAACACTATATATTACGTCGAGTGAAAAATAAAAAAATATATCATTTAAAAATCTGCTTTACTAAAGATGTATGTAGTGTATACATGTTTATACACTACGTATACAAATATCTGATAGTGTATACTTCAATCATATTGGTAAACTAGATGACCGAAAGTACATTAACACAAAGTTTCACTAAAAATTTCAACCAAAAGTAATCAGCAGGGTTATAGGAGTAAAAATAACAAGAAAGGAGATGCATTTTTTATTGTTTAATTATCTGTAAAGAATCAATGCAAATTTGATTTGATTTGTGACTGCAAAACAAGTCCAGGCTGGTACTTTGAAATCAAATATTCTGAATTTTGGACCACTTAATATTATTATTATTATTATTATTATCCAGAGAAGCATATATGCTACCTTATAAAAAATCCAAACTCTTTACTTAAATTTTAGTCTCAAGACAAAAATTTCTCACGAATTTGGCTGGTTTTTGTTTCTCCAATATAATTGGCAAAATGTAACCCTTCTAAGTATGGATTAACCTTTTCAAAAGAAAATTTTGAGAAAAGATCAACAACCACCAATTTTATCTCGTATCATATGACCATTTTTACGAAAATTCTAACGTCAGATGAAATTCGATCTCAAATCCGCTTTTATACTATATTGAAGTGTACGATCATTTCATCTAAAAATTATTAGAAAGACCACATTTTATTATTTAATTGTATTCTCAACTTCCGTTATTGTTCAACCGATATCATTCCCAAAACCGATGAAATCAGACCTCTTAAGTAGATTATAAATCAATCTTAACAATCATTTATTTTGTAATTAAGTAAATGTAATGTAAGAAATAAAATGAATGAATAGTAGCCATTACATATATAATAGAAAGAATGTGTAGAATTATCAATAAATTAAACAAAGCATATCCGGGGGAGCATTTTTAACACAGCCGGAAATAATAAATGAAAATTACAAGTCAATAACAATTAATAATAATAATAATGGCCTTCCTTCTTCTTCTTGATATCAACATAACTACAACTAAAACAACCTACATCTTACAAATTAAATCAACAGACAGACCTCACAGATCCAGGCTCCCGCATTTTTTTTAACACAAAAACAAACTAAGGTTTCTACTGGAACACAACGAGTATCGCGGATACCAGCATGATAATCATGAAGGAGAATTTCGACTCGTTGGATGTTGCATATGATATATCTTGTGGCCTGAATAGTAATGAACTATGTTAGACAATGCCGTGTTTTTAAATAGTTAGGTTTGAAGATATTTGTTTGTTTTTACTTACTTTTGTAGTTTGCCGAGTTGACCACAGAAGAGAGCATTGTCTGGCATTGGCAACTCTGTCTTGTTAGTAGGCTCGGAGTTAACAACCCTGATGTAGGTTTCTTGTCCTAGAAACCACGAGTCGAGGTTTTCTGTCCTCAGGTTCCAAACTCCAACATTGTCAAGGGAGACCAAGATTGCTGTCCATGCCCCGGGGAAAACCTGTGAGCAGCATAGGAAATGTTAGGCAATAGAAAATGTTTCTCAATTATCATTTCGAAGAAAGTTGGTAAAAAACGAATTTGTTTGTTGCATATATAACATGTTGAACAAGCTAAGTACGCGTTCACTAGCTTACATTGAGAGGCAAACCACAAGCAAACTGAGTTTTGAGTTCTTGTTTAAGATAAGCAGTAATATTATGTAAGGCAACAACTTATGACTGACATATACAAGTAAGAACAGAATTGAACTCATCAAGTTGTAAGTAGTGTCATTGAAACATACTTCATATACTTACTATCAACTTTATTTCACCGTTATACTAGACTCATTACTTTCTTGGCACAAAAATGAAAGGGGGGAAAGTACATACTGGCCTGGTTCTGGAGCAATATCAGGGTTGTAAACAGATATCGCAGACTAATGGCTATATCGAATAAAGGATTGTAAGCATCGCAGACTAATGGCTATATTGAATAAAGGATTGTAAGCATGTACTAGTCGCGAATCTTGAGAAAATCACAAGATATGAAAAGGATTACCTGTGTTGTGGTACGAGCTATTCCATCCCATTTGTTGTAAGTACCCCTACTATTATTTGACCACACGCCAAAATCCATCCTGCAAGTTTGTATTAGTGAATAAGTCAGGTTCAGAGAAATGAGTTTCCAGTTTCATGTTTGAATATGATGAACATTGAGGGGAGGCCAGATCTTACCCGACCACAAAAAAGGCATATCCGCTCATATGGTATGTGTGCATTTTAGTATCATTGTTTTGAAATATTACTTCCATAAATCCCCTGTAGGTACCATTGATAATAGAGGTTTCCATCTTAGGAGGTCCGGTTAGTGGTGCCGTAGGGAAATCTAGCTTATATACACCCTTTAATTTGTACTGGTCAGCAAGTCTGATTGGTGTTTTAGGATTAACAAATGAAATCCCATTAAGTGTTGTTCTCCTTTTTCCATCTACCACCTTTGGTGGCGTATTTTGGACCACGTATATCTCTGTCACATTAATTGAGCCATATCTGAAAGAACCTTGAGGATTAGGACGAGCTCCGCTGGCAGTTACATTCCACCTACATAACATACACCATAACACCAAATGGTAAGTGGCAGAAAAGCTTTAGTCTGATAAATTTGTTCCAAACTTACATCTTTCTGATAAAATTTGATAAGTGTCTTGCAGAGAAACAAACCTGATAGATCTCGCCTGGTTCATGGAGAAAGTTTTGTCGAATTCATCTTGTGGTGGTTCAGGAAGGGGGCCGTGTGCCTTTCCTTTCGAGTTTGTGTATTTCAAAATGCCTACACCAGTGACCCTTTGCC